CACATCAAACTTATTGGTAATGTCACAAGAAAAACAATGGTGTGCTTGGTTTCAACGTATCCATACAAATGGCCCACCCTGTATAATCCTCTCTGCTCACATATCATGAGTGCGAGATATATCTGAGCTGCCCAGCTCTTTCGCTGACCTCCTGTCTTCTGCTTCTGGGAATCAATAGTATCAAGAGAGGGAAAAAAACTCTTTAAGGACTTTCTAGGACAGCGAGCCAATTTCCCAGTCATTTCACACCTCCTGTGAAAGTGGTCGACCACCTCTGCACCCAGTGTGCGCTCTGGCTCCAGCAGCACAGTAGTGGCAGGTACAGGAAATCTTCTCTTGTCCAATGGAAATAGATGTTTTTTATAAGCACTTTAAAGCGTGGCAGACTGTGACCCTGAGAGGTGAGGCGGACTAATTCCATCTAGCCAGCATCCTGATATTGCCGCTCCCTGAGTCGCATGTCTTAATGGAGACTGCAAAGTATGTCGGTTAAAGCGGGGGGAGAACATGATTTCGCAGAGAGAGTCATTTCAGAGAAAGATTTCCCAGTCCTGCTTTTGCATGTAGACCGTCAGCTGAAGCTTGGCTTGCTTGAGATTAGTATTAGCAGACCACATGTAACAATTTACATATCCAGACTGTGCATTGGGACGTGCTTACTGAAGTTGCACCCAAAAATCACTCATTTCGCTGCGTTTTGGGTGCAGTAATCTGCAGATTGCATTTTATTATTCGATTTGTTCGGATAACAATCATCAGCAGTGTAAACTGTTCTGGTCAGAGTCTTTAAAACCGAGTCCTGCATCCTGACTCATGTTACAAGACATCCGCTGACAGATGGTGCCAGTTTACTCACATCTGCTGATTCAGAGCAAACTGGAATTTTAGATGGCAAGTTCAGGCACAACATGGCTAAAAGCAATTTGCTGGCGTTTGATGTGGTCGTAGCAGGAACAAAGTACAGCCTGGGAGAAATGTCAGGTTTACTGTGCTGATAGCCACAAGTGAATGTCAGGTCTCACACAGGCCGTTTCTCTCTAATGTAAAAATCTCAAGAAGGTATACTGGTCACTGAAGTCTTACTTTAAAATTCTCAGGACAGACTATTTCGCTGAAAACATGTGGAGGGATTACGTCAGTGCATTATTTTTCCAGTTAAAGGCCTAGATGATGATTATATATTTTTAAAAATCTACTGCTTTAGTGTTTTGTTGGTTTGAAGCTCAAGTTTCTGCAAGTGGAACTTTTGCAGCAATCGTTGCTTTAGAGCAGGATTTTGATACACAGTTTACTGCCTTCATATCTTAAACAGCGCAGCACCTTTAACTGACTAAACATGCCATCTCTTCAGTGTTCAGTCTGTTTAATTCAAACTCTGGTTCGTTTTCCTCCTTGGGGCAGTTTGTTTCTGCAGATGTCAACACAGTAATCAAAAGAGCTAAAGTGAGCTAGCGACTGCTGTTCTCCATGTTCACCAGCACTCTGCTTCGTTTGAAGTTCACTTGGATTTTTGTCTCTGTGAAAAGAAACCAAATAAAGGGAAAAGCTACATGTTTGCAAACTCAACAACTGATTCAGAAAGAGAGAAAGAGAAAAATACAAACTTTAATCGACATGATAATTCAGTGTTTTAGCTTGTTTCCACAAATATCAAGACACCCAGACTCCCCTGGGTCAAGTCTGACGGAAATCAAAAACAAGACATTGTCTGAGAACCCAAAGTCACAGGAAGATACAAATACAAAACTGGGGTAGTCATTATGACACGGCAGTTGACGTCACTCCCAATATGCTGTGATCCAGTTACCTTGGAATTCAGAAGTGAAAATCAGCTGAGTTAGTGTGTTCCAGCTGTAAAATCTAAAAAACAAAGATACTTAGCAAGGTAGAGCCAGTCATGCATTGCTAGCAAGTCAGCATAATACTGGGAGGGGGGATAGGACCTGGTCAGTGCTGTGGAGCCGTATGGCTCATTTAGCGAGTCCCAAATTTACAGTGTACTACCATTTATGTTCACTCCTGCCGTCTTTTGTTGTTCACTGGGGGTTGGTAGAACTGCTCTGGCGTTTGAAAAACTGAGTTGAGTGGGTGTTGAAAATGAAAAACCCAATTGGGAAATTCTAACTTCCGACCTCATCTGGAATGCACCATACAAGAAGACAAGGGCTATAAACACACACAAGGTAATTACAGAGATAGGAAACACCAGGAAGCACAGCTGCAACTAATCAAGAAAACTAGACAGGAAGCAAAGCCAAATATTACATACACGAGACATTAGACTACTAAAATAAAACGTAAAGGACCAAACAAGAGAACATCATTGATGTGCACTTGAGAATACACAGGGAACACCAGGGAGGCAGGGTTAACTGAAAGGAGTACAATATATACTCAACAGTAACTGAAAATAACAAGAAATGAAGACTTGACTATATACAAATGATCATACCCAATCAGATATGCTAAAGATGCAAGGAACAAAACATTCTCACAACTGAAAAGAAACATCAACTTGCAAAAACTTAAAACCCGGGGCCGTGACATGACATGTGTGGAGAGCATACAAGCTAGCCACCCACAGAAAACCAGCAAAGAAGAAACTATCGCTGTAGGCGATTTTAGAAAAGCCTTTCAGGAACGAAGTGGTCAGCAGACCAAAACTGAGAGAAAGATCTCTGCGCAGCATTTTACAGTGGCTCGCAAAAGTATTTTGCCCCCTTGAACTTTCCCACATTTTGTCACATTACAGCCACAAACACGAATCAGTTTTATTGGAATTCCA